ATCCACACCTCCTTTAGGCAGGGAACCTATTAAGTCAGCTTGACAGTTTATTTGTATTAAGTCAACTTCACCATGACTCCTAAACTGATCCCTTGGAAAGCCCAACCAATTTAGCAGATAGTGGAAAAATCAGCAATATTCTTTTCCAGTTTGGTTGTTCAATCATTTTTCTGGCATTCTCTGCTCTATTTTATTTCAAGTCAATTTAGCATCAATTAACAGCCCAGCTTAGACAGCTTTAGAGGCTCCAGCAACTGCACGCTGTAGGTGTCCAAAGAGGAACGCTCCTGGCTGAGCAGTTCTCCCCCAGAACCTGTCTGGAGGCAGGGATTTGATGGATGCACTCACAGAATGAGACATAGATGAAGAGAGCAGAGATAGATTGGGACTTGCAGACAGGCTCCTCTGCACCTGCCTGTGCTTTGCCCTTCCCTGCAGATATTCTCTGAGACGTGCTCTTCCCATTTATTAGAAGGGTGAAAAGCAGTCAGATACTTTGAGCAGGAATCTGCCCAGTGCTGGGGGGGCTTGTCCCTGGGATGGCACTGCCAGTTGCCCTCTTCCTGGGGGAATAACTGCAGTGCTGGGGTGGAAAGATGGGGTGAGGTTGGACAGCCTGGTCCTATCTGCTGTTCTTGATGTCAGGGGCATTGCTGGGCTGTTTTGGAGAGGTGAATGTGTGTACACATGAGAGATGTCACTCATTCCATGGGACAGCAATGGCTGCTTCTGCTTAGTGACCCTTGGCTCTATCTTGCAGTAATTTCAGTCCAACACTATTTCCCAATTTAGGACCTCTGTGCCCACAGCTTCTCGTGTAACAGCTCTGGGATTGCTAAAGTTTAAACAGTGCAAATTACTCCTCAAAACTACGCCTCAGCACTGGCCCTGCCTCCTGCGCAACACTGCATAAAAGAGCTTTGCATTTCCAGGGCAGCTCCTCTTGAGCCACTGCTCCTCTCCGTCACACAGCCCCAGGGTATCGGCAAAAGCCTCGGCTCTTCCTCCCTCCCCAACACTTCTACACACCTACCTGGGGGCTGTGTGGAAAGCAGGTGAGCAAAGATTGGCAAAGAAAACCCCTCTGCATTATTTAAGGAGCTGGGGGAGTTGTGCTGGGGAGGAGGTGGGCATCACTGGGGGCTGCAGACCCACTAGGGGTGAACTGGCCCTACTGGTCTGTGCTCCACCACAGCCACGTTCCCCCCAAGCAGGGCGGCATGGTGCGGCGCGTGGTGGTGGTGGGCGCCGGCGTCAGCGGGCTGGCGGCCATCAAATGCTGCTTGGAAGAGGGGCTGGAGCCCACCTGCTTCGAGCGGAGCGAGGATGTCGGGGGTCTCTGGCGCTACACGGTGAGTGGCTTTGGCTGCCTGATTTCAGAGCTGGCAGAGAGGAAACCTGTGTCCTCAGGGCTGGGAGAAGGCACCCAGCTGCACCCCACCTGCATGCACCCACTTGCTCTGTTCTGGTGGCTGCACATGGGAGGGCTTGGCTGGTTCAGTACAGATGCCCAGGTCCCCTCCCTTACCCTGGGGACAGCCTGGCTGTCTCTTGGCTTGCTGAGCCAAGTCCCCTCTGAACAGCTAACTCCGCTACTTTGAGGCAGACGGAACTACCAGCTTCTCCTCAGCTAAGGTGCTACAAAACCCTTGGGGCTGCTCAGAGGTCATGCTCTTGCTCCCCACAAAGCTTATGGAGACAGGCATGGCTCTGAAATGCAAGTTTACAGGCCCTGCAAAAGTCACCCCATGGAGCTGCCAGCAGTCATCCCCATCTTGGAGAGCACTCGCTGCTGCTCAGGGCAGCTCTTGGCATGCTGTACTTAGTGGACATGCACCGCAGAGTCAAAAAGGAGCCCAAATGAATGTTGAGACCCAGAGCTATGTCCTGCCAGGTGACCACCTACTGGCTGGCTGGGGCTGCAGTGACAGTTTGGGGTGTCACTGTGGTTGCAGGAGCAGCTCAGGGTGCTGTTAGGGAAAGGAATTGTACCAGTGTGTGTTAAACACTGAGGGGAGGGGGCAGAAAGCTTATTCAGAGTGATCTGGAAAGTTCAATTTATCTCAAAACGTGGACCACATGTTTTCTGTTTTTTCTGGGGAGGGCTCCAGCAAATTCCTACAGAAAGTTTGGCAATATGTTTTGCTGTTTATAATGGAGAATTTAACTACAAAATATCACTATCAAGAGGAAAAGTCAAGAGCTCTTTGGCTCCTTATCTGTTTTTTTGGGGCCCTTTTCTTTCCTTTTCTTTCCTTTTCTTTCCTTTTCTTTCCTTTTCTTTCCTTTTCTTTCCTTTTCTTTCCTTTTCTTTCCTTTTCTTTCCTTTTCTTTCCTTGTTAGTAATCATTCAGCCAACCCAAATATGAATTTTTCAGTGCAGAAACCTTGCTGCAATTTTCCCAGCTCTGTCTTGGCATCAAACCTGTCAAGAAAGGGAAATGCGTTACCTGTGTTTCATACTGTTAAGTACCGAGCATCAGAGCAGACATTGCCCCCTGTCCCCCTGAGTGAGGACAGGGCAATGCATGAGGCTAGCTGTTTTGGGCAGGACTGGACAAGGCCAGCCCAGGTCCCACTGCATGCATTGGGATCTTGGGGGTTTTGGCAGATGCCCCATGTCCTCCTAGATGTCAGCAGCACACTGGTCAGTAGGCACAAGCCTCTGCCCACAACCCTGGCTTGACCCGCCCCAAGGGTGAGGGGCATGTGCATAAAGCGTGGGCAGCCAAGCTGATGAGCCAAAGCAAACACAACCTGCTAGGTGTCTGCCCTCGCTTGCGCAATCGCCAAGACCATGCATGCGGAAAGGAGTGATGTCCATGCACGCCTGTGGTATTTTGGAAGCTTTACAGGCATGCCAGGAGGAAGCTGGACACGAGGAGGTCCCACATTACTAGCCTCCTGTGATATTTTGCATGTTTCAACACACATGAGTGTAGCTGTGTCACACCCAACCTCCTTGATGCTTTCTGGATGTGCAGCAGAGAGGCTCTGGCATAGTCCTTCCACAGCACTCGCTTCCCCTGAGGTTTCCACTTTCCCTGGCAAATGTGCATGTAACAGACTCCAAAATGCCTTGGATGATGCAAACCCTCCTTCCAGCCTGGTAGGACACTCCTGTGCTCACAGGGGATTATTTGATTATTGTACTGGATGCCTTTTACAGTTTTAATCTGTCTCCAGCCTGGAGGTGGAGACCAGGGGGTGATGGTGCCTGGAGGAGTTGGTGCAGGGCTTCAGGACAGGCAGGGGTCATGTTCCCCCTTAGGGGACACATCCATGCTCCTCTCCCTCCAGGACCAGGCAGAGGATGGCAGAGCTAGCATCTACCGGACCGTCTTCACCAACTCCTGTAAAGAGATGATGTGTTATCCTGACTTCCCCTTCCCCGATGACCATCCCAACTACATGCACAACACCAGGCTCCAGCAGTACATCTGCAAGTACGCCCAGCACTTTGACCTGCTCCGGCACATACAGTTCAAGGTAAAAAGCCTGGAGCAGAAAGGAACAGCGAGTAGCAGGGGGACCTGGGCATGAGGGACATTGCCTCCATGCCCAAGTCTCCCTGCCCCAGGGAAAATCCTGGGAGAAAATATTCCAGGGAAAAATATTCCAGCTCCATCTCTGTGCACACTCAGAGCTGCCAGCATGAAATCCTTGGGGCAAACATCCCCTGGGCTCCCTGGGACCTCGGAAAAAACCACTGTCCTGCTACAGCTCTCGCTTGGCTCCACAGACACCCACTGATCTCTTTTCTTTTGTTTCCTTTCAGACCCTGGTCACCAAGGTTAAAAAACACCCCAACTTTTCTGTGACGGGGCAATGGGAGGTGGTGACCCAGAGAGATGGGAAGGAAGAGATGGCAGTTTTTGATGCTATTATGATTTGCTCTGGGCATCATGTCTACCCAAACCTCCCCCTCGCTGACTTCCCAGGTAAGCTGCGTGTGTGGAATTGATCTGCCAGGACACAGCCAGGCAAATACTTTCCATCACAATGTTTTTCCCTGAAAAAAATGCCTTCTCAGCTTTAAAAGGAGAGCAGTATTTTGGGGGATGAGAGCTAGTTCAGGAAATCAAACCCTGTCTTTTTTTTAAAAAAACCCTCAGTATCCAAACTATATCAAAGCAGGGACAGTGCAAATCCTTCCAAGAAAAAAAAAATATTTCAGGCTGTTTCCTTTAACAGAAGATTTTTCATAAAAGGATTTTGTGAAGCACTTTTTTTTTTTTGCTTTTTCCTATTATTTCTAGTACAAATATCACATATGTTACCCAACAGACTTTGCATCTCTGTGTACAGGCACACTACTGGGGAAAATTTTCTGCCAAGAAATATTTGTGCTGGGGGTCTGTTTGGAGGACATGGGCTTGAGGAACCTCCTGGTCAGCAAAACTCCCCTTAGGTCCTTTGCCCACTTCTCTTAAAAATGAAAGCTGCTTCCCTGTTGCTCACTACCACATGAGTGTAAAGCCATGCTGAGGGGATAGAATGTGGCTGCTGAGGTGCCTCAGGGCGATGTTGGGGTTGCAGTAGTACCCTCTCAGTGTAGAGAAATACCATGCAAATGTATCCTATGCTTGCAGACTCTCTGTTTAAATACTGAATGCAAGACAGAGACAAATCCCATATGACTACAGGTTTGCAGCATCCCACTGTGTAGAGGAGACATCTGCCACCAAGAAATGCTCAGACAGATGCTCCAGCACCATCTGCAGGAAGGGGAGAGCCCAAGGCCAGCACAGCCTCTCCTTTTCATTCCTGGGGTGAATTATGTCCCTTTCTGTTCTCCTTTCCAGGAATACAGAAGTTTAAAGGCCGCTACTTTCACAGCCGAGAGTACAAGGAGCCAGAGCAGTTCAGAGGGAAGAAAGTGCTGGTGATAGGCTTGGGCAACTCCGGCAGTGACATTGCTGTGGAACTCAGCACTGTGGCATCGCAGGTACGTGGACATGCTCCAGAGCCACTAAGGAAGGGGAGGTCCCCGCCTGCTTGAGTATGTGCCACAGCATCCATTAGACAGCCCTGGGGGCTTGTAGCCATCACAGAGGTGGCTCATCCTTCCCTGGCTGTCCTGACAGGTCTACCTGAGCTCCCGAAGTGGGTCCTGGGTGATGAGCCGTGTCTGGGACAATGGCTACCCCTGGGACATGCTGATCATCACTCGTTTCCGGACCTGGCTGGGGAACATCCTCCCTAGGGTGCTCAGTGACTGGCTGTACGTGAGGGGCATGAACCGGTTCTTCAAGCATGAGAACTTTGGCCTCATGCCACTGGACAGGTACACATGGGGCCATCCATCCCCTAACACCCCCGATGGTGCTGGTTCTGAATGGAGCTAGACCATGCCCATCCTGTGCTGGCAGCAGAAGCCACCCCTGTGACAGCTCCACCCCCTTTGCACTTGCAGAACTTCCCGCAAGGAGCCGGTGTTCAACGACGACCTTCCAAGCCGCATTGCCTGTGGTGTGGTGGTGATGAAACCGAACGTGAAGGAGTTCAGAGAGACGTCTGTCTTGTTCCAAGATGGGACTGTGCAGAATGATGTTGATGTGGTTATCTTTGCCACTGGTTACAGCTACTCCTACCCTTTTATGGAGGATGACTCCATCATCAAATGCAGGGACAATGAGGTCACCCTCTACAAAGGCATCGTCCCTCCTCGACTGGAGAAGCCAACCATGGCAGTCATAGGGCTGGTCCAGTCCCTTGGAGCCATCATTCCAACAGCGGACCTCCAGTGCCGCTGGGCACTCAAGGTGTTTCAGGGTAGGTGGATGGATATGTGCTGGGCAAAGGTCTATTTTCTGTTAATGGAAAGTAGCACCAATAGGAGGCGTTC